GCCACCTGTCCCCTGCCTTGGATACCAGACCTGGACACCCCTGTGCAACAAAAGCCTTGCATCACATTAACGCAACAGTGGCCTAACGTGAAGTAGCACGAAAAACAACCTGGGTTCGTGTGACTAAGGATAGGGGCCAGTGGTGGGAACCTTCGAACGCGGTAATGAACCACGAGTTTTCACGCAAGGCTGAGGAGTCTGACTAGCTGACACTCGGTTTCTCAAAAATGACTCTGCTCCGTGGACTTATACATACGTCTCTGGTTACTTCACAATGCCGTACCACCGCAAAGGTTACGTACCAACGAACCAGAAACTGCAGAATGATTATGATTTATCATGGAGAAATATCATATTTGCATCCTGGTGGAGGAACTGAGGAAAACCATTAAAAGATATCTAGTCAGAATAGGTGGTTCCCTATTACTATTTAAAATGACAAGTAAGAAACATTACTACTGAGCCATTCTCCTCCGCCTTCTCATGTTACCTGAAGGGCAAAGTCAGATAAATCAATTTCACAGCCTTGATCAACTGTCCGCCTGAGACCCGACGCATTTATCAGCTTAAAATAATGAAAAAAAAAGAGAGCCTGCCGATTCGCATCAGCGACTTTTCAACACAATGGGGATACCAAAGAAAAGAACTGCATATCTGCCTGGACAATTAACAGTACCTGCCGGTACAATACCTAAATGATCATAATATAACGCAGAATGATCTTCTCACCTTGTACGTTGCTGATTTAAGATTTACATTTCTGCCCTTGCTGGTCAGCGTGCATTTCATTCGAATAAAAAATGAACGAGGAATGACGGGCAGCAGAGGTGACTTGATCGACAAGATGTCTCTGATCTCATCGTGGTCACACGGATGACTGAACTCATAAATACTGTGACCCATCAAATCAATCTGTAATCACAGAAACATTATACATACAGAATTTAACATAAATTTAAAGCACATTGTAATTATGTAAGACTTGATGTTCTCACAGCGGTGAGTATGAAGATATCCGTCTTCTGGGTTATTGCGCTGTGTAGTCTGGTCGATGTTTACCAACGTTTCAGAGGTCATACTGCCTCCGTCATCAGGGCCCTGATGACGGAGGCAGTATGACCTCTGAAACGTTGGTTAACATCGACCAGACTACACAGCGCAATAACCCAGAAGACGGATATCTTCACATTGTAATTATATTAAATATAATTTTTCTGCCTGCGATACAATCTTCTCCCAGTGGTGAAGTTGTCTCTGGAAGTTGTCCTTTATGTTACGCTGTGTGGCAACACGACCCAGAGGATCGACGACGGCACTGCCGCGCGAACGCAAAATCTCGGCTACCGCACGCCAGTTATTATTAACGTAAAAAATAATTTCTATATTATGATAGACATTACAGGTCAGTAAAGTTTACAAAGCTCTGGATTAAACAACCATGACCACTGGTTTTTGAGTCTTTTAGGTAATGAAATAAAATTTGGCGTATCTAAGTCTCCCATTTCAAACGCTACAACATATCAAGACACGCAAATGGTGACTGATGATACGGAATCTATAGACTAAGAAGAAAAGATTGTGTCTGGTTCCTGTAAGACATTTCATACCTGAGTGATCCCAAGATACTCATTGATATTCTCTGAAAGGAATATCATATCACCATCCGCAGATACTACCAGCAGAAAACCTTCAAGCGCTCGTAAGAACAGTGGGTCATTCGTCGAGTCTAACTTTGTCTTGCACGATTCCGGAACTGCAAAGAAGAAAATGATACTTAATCCCATGTATCGATTTCTATGCTTCTGTATTCGGCGCCACTTTATCAAACCTACATGACTTTCATTATTAAGGTCAACAAGAAAAGGCTGCTGATGCCTTCAATTGATATACAAGGTTTTAATCTTGAAACAAATTTGATTTGTTTAAACGAATCTAAAGCCAATGCTGTACTACTAGCCTCAAGCTAATTCTAAATGAAAAATAAATTAATATATCTGCAAGGAGCTATATTTACCTTTCCCCCCCCCCCCCCAAATGCCTACGTAACATGTAGTGAGATAGCTTTATTTTACTTTACGTCTTTTAACTTTACCTACAAATTAGATTGTATTTTAGCACAGTGTGACTAAAAAATATGTACACGTAAACTGTACGTAAAAGCGAAAGGACAGAAGAAACACCAAACATCAACAGCATTATGTTCCAAATTGTGTCATAGTGCAGAGGGGGTCTGCAGTGGCCGCGCGGTCTGAGGCGTGGGCCTTGTGCCGCTTGGTCCCTGGGTTCGAATCCCACTCAAGCCATGGATGTCTGTGTTGTGCTGTCCTGTGTACAGGTAGAGGCCTCGCGACGGGCCGATCCCTCGTCCGAGGAGTCCTACCGAATGTCTATATATCGAGCCAACGTAAAGTTGGGAACCGCAGTGCTCAGGCACTTGAAGAACGGGTCGTTCCCAGTATCCCCAGTATCCCATAGTGCAAACTCATCTCACAGAGAGCTACATACTAAATAATTTGAACATTGTTAAAGACCACGCCAAGTTTTCTTCTAGCCTGAATTGAAAGCAGTACTCACGCAAATTCAAGAGACTGCGAACTTTGAGGTATGAAATCGCCAACCGCATAATGGATGCCTTATCCAGTTGAGACACGGTACTCTGAGGCATGGGCAAAGCCTGCGCCAGATCCGTGAAGATCTCCGTCTCCCGACAGCGACGGAATCGGGCTGCATCACGCGACTTCTCCTTGCGTTTCTCTGAGTTTCTGAAACAAGTAAAGAAATTCATAAAACATTAGCAGTAATACCAAAATTTCTTTATGATTTTTCCTGTAATCAGCAAATTATAATTATCATATTGATTATGTTAATTTATTGGGTAAACACATAAATATCATAAAAACACAGAATCTCTGATGAACAATCATAAATGCATCCAACGAAGACACTGACAGCACTACATTAAAGGTGGAAAACGGTTGTTACGACGCACTGCAGTATCTTCTGTTGGTGTGTGTGGGTGTGAAACTTGGTCTCTCATATTAAAGGAAAAACACAGCTTAGTGACGTCTGAAAATGGGTGCTGATAGACTATTTGGATGATGTAAGAAGGATGGCTGACAGGAGGCTGCAGAAAATTAAAATCTGCATAAACACAGCTAAAATTCTGTATGAATTTTCTACAAGTTAACAAGTGCAAACTTAGTGACAGTGCAAAACTGTCGAGATTATATCTGACAAATTCAATACAGTCAAAATCTGTAACATTGGGAACTATACACAGAAATTAATCACTAATTGGACAATTAAATTTCTTGCTAAATTTTCCATATATATTAAATCATTTGAAAGAAAATAATCCTCTTCTCTAAATAATATTTATTATATTATCACGACTCCTTCCACATCCCACTGCCATTTGACTAACTTACAGATAAATGGAATGTAATGAAGATGTATTGTTTCACGGCAGCAAATATAAAGATGGCTGTCTTCTGGGTTGTTGTCCTGTGTAGTCAGGAAGAAGTTCCAACATTTCAGAGGTACTTGCTGCCATCATCGTCATCATTCTGGAGACAGCAAGCACCTCTGAAATGTAAATAAATTTCTACCAAACTACACAGGACAACCACCCAGAAGGCAACTATTCGTCTCCAAACATCACGTTTTCTTTTTGTGAAAGACAGTAAAAATATTATAGTTACAGCGGTACATGTACCAGATTCAACCAACACTCAATAATCCTAGCAAGAAACATCCTCTGCTTTCTAAAGTTGGTGTCACTTAAATACACAAGGTTAAAAGTGAAACTACTTCGAAGAAATACATCTCCAATAAAACATAAACAAAGCTGCTTAAGAAATTCACTTCTGGTGTCTCAATAATAAGGAAAGGAGGAGAATAAGACACAGAATGTCTACCAGCATTGGTACATCTGGTCATGTGATAAGGAATGCAACGTAAAACAAATGTGCATCCACAACGGTTTCATATTTAGGAATCCGAAATTTTAAACATCAAAAAATCTTCAGCAACCCCCTATTTAAAGACCAGTCAATTCTGAAATAAGATGGCAATACAATAATTATTTTCCCTTCTGCACACAGCATCAAAGAATATCTACTTTAATTTTTAAATGACTGTACGGTAAATGAACCTATCGGACAAAGCCGTGTCCTGGATTACTAATTAACGACCTAAGTGGGAAATAAGGTTGGAAAGAATTCTGAAACAAAAGCCAAGGCTCGCCATACAGGAACACAGAGACACACTGCTTTTATATGCATTTAAATATTCATACCGTTTGCTGCTTCTCTGACGAGAGTTGTAGCATTTAATAATAGACACGTGAGGATTCAAAACAAACAAAGAGCATTAAGATTCTATAAAAAAAAAAGGAATTTCCTGTGCAGATGTAATTTTACTGATTGCTACCAAAAATTATAGGTCCAAAGGACAACTTAATTTTAAAATTCATAGAAGTTACTCATCAAGAAACCTAAACAAAAGCGTGTTCTATCGGAGAATGACAAGATCCAGAAACACGAAACAGACAGTGAAATAATAATGAGATGTAATCAATGGCAGTGATGAAATCTGTAGAAAGTTTAGTGCAGCTACTTATCATCTTTGTTTCTGCTTTGACTCCTCAGCAAAATTTATTTTATCAATCTCACAACAACAAACTTGACGAACTTGCTTATAAAAAGGGAATATACTTGGCCATGTATCATAGGGAAGTTGAGTTATTTCAAACTACAGCTGGTGGCCACATTACAGAACCACTAACATTAGTCTCCACACCAGAGCACCTCTCCCCTTAATAAAAACCAGTTACTACATATTCATCGCCCTTATGACGGAGGCAGTATGACCTCCGAAACGTTGGTTAACATCGACCAGACTACACAGCGCAACAACTCAGAAGACAGAAATCTTCATCGCCCTGATGACGGAGGCAGTATGACCTCTGAAACGTCGGGTAACATCGACCAGACTACACAGCGCAACAACTCAGAAGACAGAAATCTTCATCGCCCTGATGACGGAGGCAGTATGACCTCTGAAACGTCGGGTAACATCGACCAGACTACACAGCGCAACAACTCAGAAGACAGAAATCTTCATCGCCCTGATGACGGAGGCAGTATGACCTCTGAAACGTCGGGTAACATCGACCAGACTACACAGCGCAACAACTCAGAAGACAGAAATCTTCATCGCCCTGATGACGGAGGCAGTATGACCTCTGAAACGTCGGGTAACATCGACCAGACTACACAGCGCAACAACTCAGAAGACAGAAATCTTCATCGCCCTGATGACGGAGGCAGTATGACCTCTGAAACGTCGGGTAACATCGACCAGACTACACAGCGCAACAACTCAGAAGACAGAAATCTTCATCGCCCTGATGACGGAGGCAGTATGACCTCTGAAACGTCGGGTAACATCGACCAGACTACACAGCGCAACAACTCAGAAGACAGAAATCTTCATCGCCCTGATGACGGAGGCAGTATGACCTCTGAAACGTCGGGTAACATCGACCAGACTACACAGCGCAACAACTCAGAAGACAGAAATCTTCATCGCCCTGATGACGGAGGCAGTATGACCTCTGAAACGTCGGGTAACATCGACCAGACTACACAGCGCAACAACTCAGAAGACAGAAATCTTCATCGCCCTGATGACGGAGGCAGTATGACCTCTGAAACGTCGGGTAACATCGACCAGACTACACAGCGCAACAACTCAGAAGACAGAAATCTTCATCGCCCTGATGACGGAGGCAGTATGACCTCTGAAACGTCGGGTAACATCGACCAGACTACACAGCGCAACAACTCAGAAGACGGAAATCTTCAGTTACTTCTCAATTACACATTTCGGAGTAAGCCAAACTGACAATATTCATAAACACAAAATAATTTCCTCACTAGTTCGGTGACTATTGGCTACTCAAGAAGGACTTTGCTCCATGTAATTAGTTTCTAAATTCACGCATGATGCCAAAATGTTGAAGCCTACTGTCATAACCTTCATACACTAGCATTAAACATTTCACGGCATTACAGTGCACAAATTACTGTAAAAATTGCAATAACAAATTCTGTTTCAATCTCATGTTCCAAATTACCTTTACGAGCAAAATGTGACCAACGAGATCAGCTGATACTCATATAGCACATAAAAGTATTACATCGCTCTTATGGATTGTGACAAAAAACCATGGATTACCAACATTTCACAGAAACGTACTGTCTCCATCTTCAGTGTCACAACCCAAAAGATGCCACAAATCTCAGATACAAAGTTACTTCACAATCAATTCAAAGATTTTCACAGCTCGTTTATGGTCTTCCGGGTTGTTACACCGCACAACCTTTAAGATGCCTCTGAAACAACGGTGTACAACCCAGAAACCTACAATATTTTTTAAAAAAAAATAAGAACAAATCTGTAATGTGTCAGTACCTGCAGACCAGGCACAAAGTGACACCCATCACAAGACAAGCTATAGCTCAGCAAAGCTTCATTTTTAAACCACGGTAATGGAAAAACCAAGATTGCACATCCGCTCAAAATCTTCTACAGCGTACGTTGTTGGACTCCACAATGCAACCAACCAACCAACCGGAAGTTGTTACGTCAACGATCAGAACTTTAAAACCCTAAACTAAAAATAGTAAAAGGCTACAGTATTATTAAACGTCGAACAAAACTTTCGTCTAGAAAGACTGCTTCTTATTAGCGGACGAAAGGCGCTTATGAATCTAAATGTCACATAAATTGTATAATGACTCGACTGGGTCAATCACATCACTCAAACTGTTTAGTTTTTACCAGAATGCGATATCCAGTAACATTTCACAACGCGTAGAAATAAATTTAAATACAGCCTACCTCGGGATTCGAGCAACGGACCTTGTAAAAAGTTGTCAGTGGAACCACGGTTCCGGAGAATTTGACGTAAATACGTCTATACGGAAAGGAAGTTTATACATTGGCTTTATTCTAAATATTTCCTTTATACATGCTTTACAATTTCGTAAAGTTTGATTAAGACTTTGCTTAATCAACTTGAATTAGTTACGCTTAAGATGGGTCTTAAGCGTCTCGGGTTCGATTCCCGGCGGTGCCCGAATTTATAACTTGTGTTGGGCAAGGCCGTGATCTAGGCAACACGGAGTTTTCCTCCGTGGCATCCCAACAATTACTCCATTCACACACAGAAGAAGGCAATGGCAAACCACTTCTGGATCATCTGCCAAGAACGTATATGAACAGATCCCAGTCCGAGAAAAGGATGGAAGATCCTGTTCATATGGACTCGTTGGCAGACAGATTACTACAAATAAAATAAGGTGAAGAGTGAAATGGCATGTAAATATTTTCCAAATGCACTTTCTTTTGATATAACCTAACCTCAGCCATGATGTTATTTATTGCAGGGCTCGTTGCACTACAGGGTCAAAAATTATATTCAGTTTATTTTAAAAATATGCACCAAGTATTTTAAGCATTTAGAATCAAATTTTATTTCAGTTTCTTCCCTAAAGCTTGATGTGACCTGCTGTGTTGGCTAGATCATCAGTAATGGATAATGGATAGTGTCCACCATGCAGACACACCAAAATTAGTTGCTTGTTTATACGAACAGACTATAGTTCGGGCGTGCATATTGTTTCTTGAAAATAATCTATGTAATTGTTATTATGTAGTGAAACAAGTGCGGATGTGTTTAATTCACACATAATTG